ACCGATGCCTAATGACTTGCAAGATCTTTTTTGTCCTGAAAGAGTATTACATTTTCTTCCCTCATCTGCTATATGACGATTAGCAAAGCTTCTCCGTGATGGCACAGTTAGTAAACACAGACTCTCAATGGGATCAACTGAACTTCTGTTGTCTGACGGAGTCACCATGAACTACGCATATTTGGCTTATAAACTAGTTAGACTATGACAACTGAGAAACTGAATTTTTAACTCCAATACATTTTAGTTAATTTAAAATTTGAAACGAATATTTGATTCAGCAATTGGAAAACGTGCTTGAAATTACTTGGGTGTGTGAATCTACTTTGCAACTGTATATTTTATGAAATCTAAATAGAGATCAAGTATTTCTGATGAAAAATTCAAATGAAGATAGGCTATGAATATACACACCCGATTTCAAAAACATACTCTGGAGAAAGGAATGTAAAAGATCTCATTAATGATTTTTATATTACATGTGATAGTGTAAACATTTTAGATATGTTGGGTCAAATAAGATACATTGAAATTAATTTCACCTGTTTCTATCTGCGTGTTTCAATGTGGCTGCGCTGTGAAAACTGAGGCCACATTGCATCCTCTACAGTGACAAGATCGAGCATGTATACGCTCAGAAGTGCTTAACGTTTGCATCAAGAAGTGTCCTTCACAAGTATCATATGATCTCACTTATTTGTGGAATATAATGAACATAACAGTCTGAGGAATGGGGTAGTCCCAGAGACGTGGAGGTGGGGTACAGACTGACAATCCCCAGAAGAGGGGATGGTGGGGGAGAGATAAACCACAGAACTTATATGCATGTATGCATGAACAGTGGACATGGACAACAAACTGGGGACAGGGCGGGGAGGGAGGCAGAGGGGGGAATCAGTGGGGGAAAAAGGAGAAACATCTGTAACAAAAATGAAAAAAAAAAAAAAAGTGTCCTTCAGCCCTCAATGGTTTGACTCAGTGGCCAGAGCATCGGCCTGAGGACCCAAGGCTCTCGAGTTCACTTCCCAGTCAAGGGCATGTACCTGGGTTGCAGGTCCCGTCCCTGGTCCCAGTCGGATGTGCAGGAGGCAGCCAAACGATGTGTCTGTCTCACATCGAGGTCTCTCTCTCTCCCTCCCACCTCCCCCTCCCCCTCTTTCTTCCATCTACACTCTAAAAAAATCAATGGAAAAATATCCTCAGGTGAGGATCAATGAAGAAAAAAGAAAGAAAGAAAGAAAGAAAGAAAGAAAGAAAGAAAGAAAGAAAGAAAGAAAGAAAGAAAGAAAGAAAGAAGAAAGGAGAAAGGAAGAAAGGAAGGAAGGAAGAAGAAAGAAAGAAAGAAAGAAAGAAAGAAAGAAAGAAAGAAAGAAAGAAAGAAAGAAGAAAGGAGAAAGGAAGAAAGGAAGGAAGGAAGAAGAAAGAAAGAAAGAAAGAAAGAAAGAAAGAAAGAAAGAAAGAAAAGAAAGAAAGAAAGAGAGAGAAAGAGAAAGGAAGAAAGGAAGGAAGGAAGAAGAATAAAGAGGAAGGAAGGAAGGAAGGAAGGAAGGAAGGAAGGAAGGAAGGAAGGAAGGAAGGAAGGAAGGAAGGAAGATGTCCTTCAATGGCACCGGCCCAAATCTACATAAGAGGAAACCTGCCAACTTGCTTTTGAGAAATCCTCCAAATTGCAGTGATGAGACAGATGGCACTAAACTGATACCTTTAATAGACTGTAAATATTGGCATTTGGGAAGGTCCTGCGAGAAGTGGGCTGAATACTGGTGATGAGGAGCACGGCTGGCCTTAAAGGGGCGGGCCCGAGGCCGCACCTAGGGACAGAAAGTGCGGAATCGGGTGATGGGGCTCAGCACTCAGTGTCAAACCTGCTCTGACAAGGTGTGGTCCTCAGACAGTTACGGGGAAAAGGCTCCAGGTGCAAGTGGTTCACGGACAGCTTGCAAGAACGGATGCGTTTCAGTTGAAATAAAAATCAGTGAACAATCCTAGCTTTTTTAGAGGAAGTAGAGAGCTGGAGGGGTGCCCTTGAGCTTGGGCTGGGGCTGAGGAAGAGGAAGGAACAGGGAAGAGGCAGCAGCAACAGGAAAAGGCACGGAAGACGGTCATGGCCTGGGCCGTCCTGTCGTCGTCTCTACCTGGACGGAGCAGCACGGACGAGGCTGCTCACCAAGTGGTGTGTCACAGAAATTGCCAAGTCAGAGCAGCTCTTCTGGACACACGTTAGGAATATGTCATGTTTTCAATGGACCTTTGGGTAAAGGCTGCCTGATACCCAAAGGACTCGGGCATGTAGGTGTGACAAGAAAATAGACACTCTGAATTTTAAATAAATGTGCCATACATTATATATCCAGTGGGGGTTATCTTTGATTATCCTTGCAACATTGTTAATATATTGTGGGCTACAAGTTGTATCACAATTTATGTAATTTTTTTTTATTTTGCAAATATATCGACACTGCGTGGGATCCTGTTGCAGCTCTTTTATCGGAATTCTTTCCTCAGCCAAGTTGCACACCAAAATCAGGGTGACTACTGTGTGGGATTAACATGAAATATCACTTTAATGTTATGAGATCCAAATACGAAATCTCATAAGTGTGGTGTCCCGCCGGCCATGGAATCTGTGACTCCTGGTCCCAGCCTTGGTGTCACTGGTGGGTGTAGGTCCCACCCACCATTGGCTGTAAACTGTACCCTGAGGGAACAACATTTCAGTGTTTGCTGCTAACCTTTTAGACGCCTACTTAATATATCGATGAGGTTACTGGCCTTTATTATGATTTTTTTAAAATGTCCCTTGCCATTTCTTTAGTGAGATAAGAAGAGGGGCCTAGCCCTGACTGGTTTAACTCAGTGGTTAGAGCGTCAGCCTGCGGACCAAGGAGTCCCAGGTTTGATTCCGGCCAAGGGCATGTACCTCGGTTGCAGTTCATCCTCGGCCCTGATTGGGGTCGTGTGAGTGGCAACCAATCGATGTCTCTCTCTCATGTTGATGTTTCTCTCCCCCGCCCCCCCCACTCTGAAGATAAAGTATAAAGGTATCCTCAGGTGAGGATTAAAATAAAAATTAAAAAAAAAAAAAAGAGGGACCTAGCCCTGGCCATTGTGGTGAAGTGGTTAGAGCCTTGTCCCCCACCAAAGCGTTGTGGGTTTGATTCCCAAAGGCACGTACCTGCGTTGCAGGTTCAGTTCCCGGCTCTGGGTTGGGGTGCATTTGGGAGGCAACCAATCACTGTGTCTCTTTCACATCCATGTTTCTCTCTCTCCTCCCTTGTCCCCGCCCCCCTCTCCCTCCCTCCTGTCTACTCTCTCAAAAAATCAATGGAAAAAATATTCTCAGGTGAGGATTAACCAAAAAACGAAGAGGCGCCTATGAGGCACTTGTTTTTATGGATTCATTTTCATTGTCAAATCAAAGGTCTTTCCAAACACCACACTAGGAGGAAGGATTTTTAATTTTGTGTCAACAAGAGAGAGATCTCATTAGAAATGGAACAGATTTGAGGACAACAGGGTCCACGTTAGTTTACAAACCAGTTCTGTTCTCTCAGAAGCTGTACATGGACGACAGGTGAAAATGTCCAACTTTGTGTCTGCCAGTTATACCCGGTGGGAGACCTTCAAACTGTGGGGTTGCATTTCCTGGTCCCCGGCTGGGTGATGACAGGCCTAGAAGTTCTTTTGAAACTCTTTTCACCAAAGCAGTGCTGTGTGAGGGTGTGTGATGGTTGAGGTCTCCTTTATCCTGAAACTTTCCACCTGATTGTTATTTAGGCCCATTACACAGCAGAAGCCATTAAACACCTGTGCACTTCCTGGCTCCTTCAGCTGTGACAGTGAATTGTTAGGTTATTGGCGGTACTTTCTGTGTATAAATGTCCTTGGGGTCATGTCCAGGGATGGAGGAGAGAATGATAACCTGAGCAGCGATCATCGGTGACTACTCTGTCTAGGTTTCAAGTAAGTGGAGAGTCTCAAAAACTCATCTGTTTTAAACTCAGAAGATTTCTTGCTGTGATTTTGTTTAATACTGAAACTGCAAATACAGCAAAGATGTGAAGGCTAAGAGCTTTGAAGATTAAATCACCCTTAAGAAGTCCCTTAAGATGTCCCTTGCCAATACTGATGCTGGTCTTGTCACGCTGGGAATTTAGGCGGGCTGCTCCGGTCCCTAGAAGCTGCTAATGGGATAGTTATCAAGTGTCATTAAACTATATTTTAAGAAAAGCTCATTACAGAGGTGGCACCTATATGCTGGTGAGGGCTGTATAACTCTAAACCACCTTCTGGTTATCAGCACCTTTTATTTATTTATTTTATTGCAATGAAATTCACATAAGATGAAGTTAACCATGTTGAAGAGGATGATTCGGTGGCATTTTGTACAGTCACAGTGTTGTGCAACCATCATTTCTACCTGGGTTTAAAATATTTTCATCATCCCCAAATAAAACACACACCCAGCAAGCAGTCACCCTGTATATCTTTCTCCCTCCGGACCCTAACCACCACCAATCTGCTTTGTTCCTATGGATTGACCTGCTCTGAACCTTTCATATAAATGGAATCATACAGTATTTTAAGAAATACTACAGTGTTTTGTGCTGGCTTCTTTCATTTAGCATGACGTTGAGCCATAAGCTTTTTTATCGTATGAGTATAATGTGTCAGAATTTTAAAAGCTTGACCACAAAATTCTCAGCAGGATGATTGCGATCGAATTGTGGCGGAGACGGAGGAGTTGGTAAGTGTCTCATCTAGAAAACGGGAAACTGTGTGGTCAGCATTCACCTCCCAACCCTGGCAATGTGACCCAAGAGCCTGGCCGCTTCTCCACCAGCGTCATCTCAAACTCTGGAGTTTAAAATGATTACGATTGTGGAGAAGAGCATTTTGAGACAACGCTGTAACTCTGTGAAGTCTTATGAATTCCTGTAGCATCGTCACTGGGTGGCCAGTAAGAAGGGCTCTTCTCTTTTCTAATCACCTTGTCTTAGGTGACACGCCACCTTTCCAAACTCTTCGACAGCATCGCAGACCTGCAGTTTGAAGACGATCAGGATGTTTCTGCCCACAGAGCAACCGGCATGTCCAGCAAAGAGAAGGAGTGTGTCCCCTTCCAAGCGGAGTGTGACTGCGTAGGCCACGTAAGGTTTGATTGTGACGTTTTCTCTGCTGGAGGAGGAACTCCAGGATGATTTCTAAAGGCTGAGTTGAACAAGGGAAAAATTCAGCTCATGGGAAATCAGGCTCTGGTTGGCTTTGTGCTCAGAGCCTCGTTCACCTGTGTCCAGGGTGGCAGAGGGCCCCCTGCCAGGCTTCCCAGCCCCCGCAGCGTCTCGGAGAGGCTAGCCGTTGAACCAGACAGGAGGGACTGTCACAGACCCACTGAGTGGACCCCAGAATTAGAAACCAGTGCAGCCCAGCGGCAGTGCCTCCCGCAAAGCGTTCTGTTGTCACCGCGGCTGGGAGAGGACAGGGGTGAGGGCACAGCAGTGCCTCCCTCCCTGAGGGTAAAGCGTGTTTTAGGGGCTGTGGCTCAGGGGTCTGATGTGCATGTTGTCAGTGGCTGCTCGCAAATCAAGCTGATGTCACGTCCTCTGCTTACCATGTGCACGAGGTTTAAGGTAGCATGTCCTCTCTGTCGCAGTCACACCTCAAGCATATTCTCAAGGTGGTCTGCAAGAAGGGTTCATGATTGAGGAAAGAACTCTGGGTTTTCAGATGACTTAGAGAAATTGTATATCTGTCTGATGGTGCTTGGATAGCTTGGGTTAATCCACGGTTGAGGCAGGGGGTCCCTTAAAGTGTTCCTTGCAGAAATGTGATGGCCACCTTTTTTTTTAAAAAAAGGTGGTTTTTGTTTTTTTTTATTCCTCTCTGTTGCTTTTTAATATTATACCAGAAAAATCCTGCCAAATGAAGAGGAAGCAGATGGTAGAATACTTTGATTAAAATATATATTTTTTTATCTCTTGGGCTCCTCAGGATATTATTACAATGATTAGAAAAAGTCACCATAAACTATCTTGACAAAAGTGTGTTGCTGTCTGCTCTGTCCCCAGCAGACTGCTAGCCGACTGGCAGAGGGCCCAGAAGGAGGACAGACCCGGTGACGGATGTGGTTGTCACTAACAGAACCCTTGATGTGGGGAGTTTTCACAGTGTCCTAGTTGATTCTGTATCCGCAACGTGTGCTAGATACTTCGGAGCATATACCACATTCATCCTCTAATTGCCTTTATTTTATAAAAAGATGCTGTTACTTTAGGTCTCCCCCTCCCCCCCCGCACCTTTATGATTGGTTCATCCCAATTTAGCTCATTTATTTATATTTTATTGGACTAGTGTTTCTTGAATGCCTACTATGTATCAGATGCTGGGTTTGGTTTTGGGGATCCAGAAATGAAAAAGGCATGGCCCCTGTATTTTGGGGAGCTCTTAGTCTCATTGAAGAAATGGACATACACATGATTAGTTTTAGTGGGAGGTGGTCATTGTTATTAGAGGGGGTTGGGTAGAAGTGGATGAAATACCGAACAGGGAGGGTCAAGTAAGGACCTCGCCAGAGCTCAGTTCTCTAATTACACGGAGTGCCATTGTTGGCGTAATCATCTGAACATGAGCCGATTTATTGGCTTATATGTGTGTTTGGTCTTCCCAAAGGGACTGGAAAGTTCTTGAGCACAGGTGGCCAGACTGAGGACATAGATGCCATGGTATCTGGGAGATGCTCAGATGACATCTGACTCACTGAAGGAAGGTGTTGCTTGGGGAACTGAAGAGTTGTGCTTAGTGCCTAAAGCTGTGATTAGACCAGATGTGCATGTGATGGGCTCAGGCATGTGAAGGAGGCCCAGCTCTGAAGTCAGGGGAGAAGGCTCGTGGGATGTTGGGCCATTTTGAGGGTGTTGCTTCCCTTTTCTTTCAGTAGGGAAGGCCGCCAGCTCATTAACCACACATCACTCCTTCCCAGTTCTCCAGGGAAAGGCTGGGGGAGGGGGGGTGCATGCTGCTATCTTCAAAGAGGCAGGGAAGAAGCTGGTCCTGCCATCTTAGCATCCTGTGTGGTTCTTGGAACTAATTTATTATAGTCACTATTTTTATTGGTGCGGTCAATTGTTTGCAAATAGTATATGTATTCTTTATGTTATATAACATCATCCCATGGAAACATATATGGCTAAATATAACAGAGCCTATTGGCATAGCATGGGAAACAGGCTGAAATATATTTGTGGAAGCAAAATCAACTTGAAGTTTAAAAACAAAGATTATTTTCATTCATCAGCAGTTGTCCTCTCTCTCACACTCTCCTGCTGTCTAATTTTTGACAAGTGTGAAGAGAACCAGCAGGGAATATAATTAAGATACTTGCTGAAGAAAACACCTTGTCTTAATACTAAGAACTATGACAATTTTATAAAAGAATTTTCAGTAGTTCTTAAATGTAGCCAAAGATACGTCTTAAAAAAATCAATTTTCCATATCCCCAGAGCTCTAGATTATTATTCTAGCACATAGATGGCTATAATGCTTGGTTTCCCAAAACACCGTGTGTTTCCAGAGGGATCTCCACCTAGAAACCCCTTGTCTTCAAATCTGAAAAATGAATAATCACAAATCCCTCCTGCAGGGTTTGGGAAGTTATTAGCCAGCCAGTAGGTGAAAAAAGATGAGTACTATCTCCAGGAATAGATGGGTACATGTAGGAAGAACACTTCATCAATCCGTTGTTTGCCTTCTCCTCTGAGTTACCTCTTTTCTAGTTTTCCCAACAGTTTAAAATAAATCCAGCTGCGGCCTCACTCTCTGTGTGGCCTTGGAGCCCACGAGAGGAGAGAATTGCACCTCTTCCAGAGTTCAGTGTGTGTTGTAACATTTCACTTTGCTTCCAAAGGTGGAAACGTGGCTTCTGAAACTTGAACAGACCATGCAAGAAACAGTGCGGCATTCTATCACGGAAGCCGTAGCGGCCTATGAGGAGAAGCCTAGGGAACTGTGGATTTTCGATTTCCCAGCTCAAGTTGCGCTGACCAGCTCACAAATCTGGTGGACGACGGACGTAGAAATAGCCTTCAGCCGACTGCAGGAAGGCTATGAAACGGCCCTAAAGGATTTCCATAAAAAACAGGTATTTTATAGATCAGTGATCTTGAGACTTAAAGGGACTTGAGAGAGGTAAGCTTCATTCATTCAGTCATTCATTTATCGTGAATGGAGTGTCTTCTGTGTGCATGGCACCGTGCTAGGAAGATTTTAGCAATCAGTGGCTTTAACTCTTTATTTTCTACCCTGTGTTGTTCTTCTAGTTTTCTACATGGGTTTAAAAAACATCCGTCATGTCCATTATCCCCCAAGGCTCTAATGTATCACTCATACCCGGGTACTTTGCCTATTTCTTTCCGTCCTTGCAGGCTGAGCAGGTATTTATTAGAGAATATGTGCATGCTTAAGAAAGGTGGGTGACTGTTAAACAAAAACAAGTGTTTTCGTGTCTTATGGTTTTCTGTTCATTATAAATCACAGATAAGCATCATTGCAAAATAGTCTATTTTGAATTCCATTTTATTCATCCGATTATGCTATGACCTCTCCTTAAACCCCCCCCACCCCCAGCCCCTGTCTTAAGGTGCACTAGCTGTGGAACAGTTCGGAGATAGGGCCTTTCTCGTGGCTTATAGATTAAGAGCATTTTAGGTTTGGGAAGGAGTGGGAGTGTTAGTTTGTCTACTGTCCTCATTGTCAATGGATGAAGACTGAATCCTGAGATATTAAGTGACTTTGCCAAGTTGCACAATCTGTAAGGAAACGGCGAGGTGGGCGGAACTCAGAATGCTCCCCACAACTTCCCGCTGCTTCTTCGTAGCAGGACTTTGAACTCGGTGCCTTAAAAAGCAGATCGATTTGGATAGTGAAGGATCCTTGTAACATATTCAAGAATTTTTAGTTGTAGAGTGTGTTGGTTATTCCTTTTAGTTTTGCTGTAGTTTGGGTCATGAGAAGTGTGTGCATCTAAATGGCAACCCCTTTAGTTTTTTTCTCTTTAAAAATAGATGCAGCCATCTGCTAGAGTGTGTGTGTGTTTGTTTTGTTTTGTTTTAATATGCTTTTATTGATTTTTTAGAGAGATGAAGGGAGAGAAAGATAGAAACATTGATGCGAGAAACATCAATCGGCTGCCTCCTGCACGCCCCTTACTGGGGATGGAGCCCACAACCCGGGTATGTGCCCTGACCGGGAATCCAACCGGGACCTCTCAGTCCATGGGACGATGCTCAATCCACTGAGCCACACTGGCCGGGCTGGAGTTGGTTTTTAATTTAAATTACTCTTGGTAATATGGTGAGCAGTTTTTGAAATGAACTTTATTCCTTTAAAATAGCTTAATTTTAAAACTGAGATTCAAGTTGGCTATAATTGAACTACCCGAACAAGTAATTTCTTTCCTCAGTTCTCACTTCAAAATTATAGCCGGTTAAGTAATCTAAGATAATTATTTTGAACTGGCTTTCCCCTAGACCTGTTGGGAATGTATGTTAGAGAGTGTTGGGATTAAAGGCAGAAATACTGCATTTCGGATATACTCTGCCTTGCCAGAGTCCTTGAAAATGTGACAAATATAATAAATTTAAATGATCATGTTTGAAGGTTCCTTGGCAAATGTATTGTATTATGGAGGCTAGGGATCTGGTGAGAAAGTTTTTCCACTTTACTGAGCTGTGTGAAAATGATCAATAAAAGAGACAGAGGCGTTTTGGACTTTAAAAAATTAATAGCTAGTGTGCTGTGACATTACCCAGAGTACTTTTAATAAGACTCAAAGTTAGCAATATATAGCTTTTGTCATTAAGCATCCACCCTCCCCCACCACAAAGGCCCAGCTACATTATATGTACAAGAAAGAGATTCTCATTTTGCTGTGTGGAGCCAATTTTTTCCCCTTCACGTTTAGTCACTGATTGACAATTCTTAGAAGAACAAATTGATACCATGTTGACATTTGTCCTATTACCTGAGTAGGGAAACCTCTGAAGGCTGCAGCTACCCAGCATATATTGACACAAGTTTTTGTTTGTTTGTTTGGGTTTTTTTGTTTTTTTTTTATCCTCACCCGAGGACATTTTTTCTATTTTTTATTCAGATAGAGTGTGGGAGGGAGAGAGAGAGAGAGAAACATCGACGTGAAAGGGACACGTCGAGTGGTTGCCACCCACACGACCCAACCAGGGCCAGGGACAAACTGCAACCGAGGTACATGCCCTTAGCGGGAACCGAACCCGGGTCTCTCAGGACCGCAGGCCGACGCTCTAACCGCTGAGCCAAACCAGCCAGGGCTGTTTGTTTGTTTTTTGCCTTTATAGAACGTGTGATCTGATAATCTCACGCTTCATGATGTAGCAGGAACCCACAAGGTCTGGAGCAGAGCACAGACTTTCTACCTCTCCATTCATCAGAAATTATACTGAATGACAAGTCAGTTATATAAAAACCATAAGGTTTCTGGACATATGGGATCATTTGAGGAATGCCTAGATGTTAGATAACAGATGACAATGAACTGATAGGTAACTAAAAGCAGAGAAAAATCACACTTCAAACGTATAAAAAAATAGGATTGCAACAGTAAGCCTATTTTATCCCAGTGTAATTCCAGAATAATTACAGACTCAGATTAAAGAAACATAAAAAATATCTTGAGTGCATGGTCAGTGATAAGAATTAAAGGTAGCCTGGCCGATGTGGCTCAGTGGTTAAGCATCAACCCATGCACCACGAGGTCGCCGGTTCAATTCCCAGTCAGGGCACATGCCTAGGTTGTGGGCCAGATCCTCAGTGGGGGGCATGCAGGAGGCAGCCAATTGATGTTCTCTCTCATCTTGTTTCTCTCTTTCTCCCTCTCCCTTCCTCTATCTCTAAAATTAATAAAGGAAAAAAATAAAAAATAAAATAAATAAATGTAGAAAAGATGGGCACTTGGAATCAGCTTTTTATTCATATTTTATATAATTTTAAAATTTTTATTTGTTTGTATTATTGACCCTATTACAGATGTTCCCCATCCCCCCACCTTTACACACCTCAACCCAGCCCTCGCCCTCCTGCTTCTGGCCATCACCACACTGTTGTCTCTGTCTCTGGGTTATGCATATATACTCTTTGGCTAATCTCTTTACCTTCTTTCATCCAGCCCCCCCACTCCTCCCCGCCACCCTTTTTCCCTCTGACCTCTATCAGTATGCTCCATGTATCCATGCCTCTGGTTCTATTTTGTTCATCAGTTTATTTTGTTCATTATATTCCACACATAAGAGAGATAATATGATATTTGTCTTCCTCTGTCTGGCTTATTTTGCTTAGCATAATAATCTCCAGGTCTATCTATGCTATTGCAAAAGGTAAGAGTTTCTTCTTGTTTACAGCTGCATAGTATTCCATTGTGTGAATGTACCACAGCTTTTTTATTCACTCATCTACTGATGGGCACTTGTGCTGTTTCCAGACCTTGGCCATTGTAAATAATGCTGCTATGAACATAGTGGTGCATATATTCTTTCTGATTGGTATTTCAGGATTCTTAGGATATTCCCAGAAATGGAATTGCTGGGTCAAAAGGCAGTTCCATTTTTAATTTTCTGAGGAAACTCCATACTGTTTTCCACAGTAGGTGCACCAGCCTGCATCCCCACCAATAGTGCATGAGGGTTCCCTTTCCTCCACATCTTCTCTAGCACTTGTTGTTTGTGGATTTATTGATGGTAGCCATTCTGGCAGGTGTAAGGTGATACCTTATTGTGGTTTTAATTTGCATCTCTCTTCTGATTGTTGACATAGAGCATTTTTTAATATGTCTATTGGCCATCTGTATGTCCTCTTTGGAGAAGTGTCTATTCAGATCCTTTGCCAATTTTTAATTGGATTGTTTGTCTTCCTGGTGTTGAGTTGTATGAGTTCTTTATATATTTTGGAGATTAACCCCTTATCAGATGTATTATTGGCAAATATGTTCTCCCATTCAGTGGTTCCCTTTCCGTTTTGTTGAGGAATCAATTCTGTGTCTTACACATCCCAAGAGATTCTCAGTGGAGGCATTTGTCTCCAGGAAGAAAACCTGAGAAATTCTTCATAAACAAAGTGAGACATTTACTGAGGACTTCTGCCATCACTATGTCTTGACTCTAGAGCAAGGGTTGGCCAATTTTTTCTCTACAGGATCAAATAGTAAATACTTTAGTATTCATGGGTCATATAGTCTCTTTCACACCTACTCCTCTCTGCTGTCGCAGGAAAGAAGCCGCAGGCAATTCTTAAATGAATGTGCATGGCTGGGTTCCAATAAAACTTTATTTATAAAAATAGTTGGTGAGCCAGATTTGGCTCATGGCCTGTAGTTTGCTAATCCCAGTTTGGGAATTGGAAGCAGAACAGATCCTGAGGTAACTCAAGAACTTTGTAATGAGAAAAAGGGGCTTATTACTCATGTATGCCATTTGAGTTCAGTCTGACCCATTAAACCAAGAGTTGGTTCTTTGAACAAACCTATAACACTGACAAAGATTTGCAGTTCAGAGGACAAAGCAAAAACCACAAAAGGGTAGGGAAAGAAAATATAACCTCTATGAGAAAGAGATTTTTAAAAGGCTGTGTAACACTACTTGTGATTTAAATTGAAAATCTAAATTAAATGAATGATTTTTCTATGAACACTGTTTCTAAAATTGATTCAAAATGAGTTGGGAAACTTGACTAGACCAGTAACCACAGAAATATTTTAATTGGTAATTGAGATAGTTAAAGATGCATACCCCTAAACAGATCCCTGTTTCAATGATTTTATCAGACATTTAAAGAACAGAAAAATACCATGTTATATCAAGTGCTAGAGTGTAGAAAAAGATGGAAAGATTTTTTAAACTCATTTTATGAAGTTCTAATAACCTTGATAACAAAAAGCAGGCAATAATGAGGAACAAAAGAAAATTCTTTTGCCTATCTCATGAATTAGCATATCCATTTTTTGGTCTGGATTTTTTAATTTAACACTGTTGGGAAACAATCCTTTGTGGGTCTCACATTTTGTACATCTTTCGAGCAGAGGGACTGACTGCCTTTGTTCTAGACCATTTTTGCACA